TTTTGTCACCGTCATCCCAACGTTTATTTCAGTTTTGATTAAGAGCAGACTCGTGTTCTACCCTGTGTCTTCAAGGAGCCACTTCTCTTTTTTTCATCTGCTAAGAAGGAAATTATTGGCTGGGCATGGCAGCTCACATTTGTAATCCCAAGGCTTGAGACCAGCCTGAGAAACATAGCAAGACCCTGTCTTTACACTTAATTTTTTTGAAAAATAGCTGTACACGGTCACACAGCCCCAGCTATTGGGGAGGGTGAGGTGGGAGGATCAATTGAGCTCAGGAGTTGGAGGCTGAAATGAGCTTCAGTCGTGCCATTCCACTTTAGTTTGGGTGACAGAACAAGACTCCATGGCAAAAATAAAATTAATTTAAAAAAAGCAATCATGACTAATATTAATTACTGTCATACAATTCCAAGACATAGAGCTATTCTAAGCACAGAAATGAATTTCCTCAATTCTTAAAAAGATAATATATTTTATTTTAAAAATCTATGTTAATATGTATGCTGCACATAATATATTCCACTTTTCACATCAATAAATTGTTTATGTAATACCCAATAGGACTTAGATACTCGGGAAAACTTTCATTTATAAAACTATTTTCTTATACATACAAACATGCCACACTCACACCGAAACAAAAACAAAAACAAAGCCAGAAAAGTATATTTGATAATTGTCCAGGGATAAAAGTCTAGAGTTAACACATTCTTAAAAACATGGCCAAATCTGAAGGCAAAGTGACGTTCTTTTTATCAACAGAGAAAGAAATAAAATATATGAACCCTGAGGCAATAACCTGAAATGGCCCAAAGGTCTTTGCAATCTTTGCTCAGGAATATGAGAACCAGAAGGAATTCACCAACCCACCTATCCTTTAACAAAGGCAAGTACACTTCAGTGTGTTTCCTCCTCTACTTACTCACACATACTCACATTTTCCACTATTCCAGGGTATCTCAAATGGCAACAAAATAAGTTGTCATCACTTGAGATACCTGAAGTAGTGGAAAGTGTAGGTTTTTATGAGACTTTGTATCAATAATTTACTTCAGGGATTGTGAGGATTTGCAACAGCATGTAAGATTCTAGCAAATACTAAGAACTCAACAAATACCTAAATTCCTCCAAAATCCTACATTTATTTATTTATTCATCCATTCACTTAATTCTTAATAATTAGATAATATGCAAATCAGAAGAATAACTAGTTTTTCTAATTATAATTAATATAATTTGTTATACAAGTTAGGATGTGATGCTGTAATAAAAAAAAAAATAGACCCCAACATTTCAGCAGCTTAAAACAATAGACTTTTATTTCTTGCTTGTTATAGACCTGTTCGTTCAGAAAAGTGAAGCAATTTGTCTACAGTCTTTCGAAATCCAGGTTGTCAGCAGCTATACCATCTTCACACATGACTGTTAAGATCATCCTAACAGTTGCTATCCCAATTGATGGGAAGAGAAGAGAGAATAGAGAAGCCCATGAGAGGTTTTTATAGATCAACTGTGGAACCCAGATTCTATTCAATATAATTCAGTTCACAACCAATGTAAAAGAGACTGGGGAGTACACTCAACTTTATGTTCAAAGAAACAGACATCAGATTTGGATCTCTGGCTTATCAAGTTTAGAAAGAAAAAAAAAACTGTAAGTTTCTTTTGAATTAAAATTCTAAATTTTCCATCACACTGTAGTAAGAAGAAAATAAGTATTTTTTGCATAGTACTAATTATTATTATTACTATGACTGACAAACATACACGCACAGGCACTAAATGTTTGACAGTCTGTGTAGCAGACAGGAAAGTATGTACAATGGTTAGGAATTGTACTTGGTTAAAGTAGTTAACCAAGTTATGGTGAGATAATTCACCAAATCTCTTCTAGTGTCAATCATCTTCATCTATAAAACAGAAATAGTAATCCTACCTATTCCATTAGGATGCGATGTGGATTAGTTGGGTTATGCATAAAGCAATTAGAACAAGTCATGGCATTTAGTGCTCCACAAGTTTGCACTGTTACTACAATGAACACAATGAGTGATTTGCTCACACAGCCTTTAATTCCTTGCTACACCCATTTCCACTTATTTTAAGCACAAAGAATTGTAAATGAAGTGCAAAGGGGTTTCAATTCCAATTAAATTAGCCAATGAATTCAGTAATTTTTTTTCAAGTACCTTTTCATTTACAAGACCAAATGAGAACTTCAAAGATGAAAGATCACTAGAGGCAGTAAGTAGCACATTCAAGCCAGTCACTCATATAGTTCCCGCCTTACCTCCATCCTTCTCACTAGGATGGAAAGGTTAAACTGAAAGAAGAGTAGAGGAGGAAATTGTGTGGGTAAGCAAAGATATTTTGGCACTCCCGGGGGTCTAGGCAAATAGTTGCTCCAAGGTGCTGCCTGGGATGAGGGAGCTGGAAGGTAGTGTAAGAGTGAGTCACCATGCTGATGATGGGGGAAAGTCTATGATCACCCTTTACAGGAAGTAAACATGTCCATGCACAGAAGCTCCCAAACATCAGGCAGTGAGATTACACATTCCTTGGCACTGACATGTATCTTAATAGCCAGTTACGTCTGTCTATCGCTGGCAATCCAAAAGCCCCAGTCTGGACTCTGTTCCTCTTTCTCTTTTGTTATTGCTCTTTTTAACAGCTTTATTGAGATATAATCTACATACCTTTAAATTCACTTTTTAAAAAGTAGATAATTTGGGGTTTTTAATATATTCACAGAACTATGCAATCATCACCACTATCTAATTCCAGAAAGTTTTATTACCTAGAAAGAAATGATGCAACAATTAGCAATCACTCCCTACAGCCCCTGAAAACCACTAATCTGTCTCTATGAATTTGTTTATTCTGGATTTTTATGTAAATGCATTAATATATATACGTGGCCTTTTGTTATTGGCTTCTTTTGCTTAGCATATTTTTTAAAAATTCATCCATGTCATAGCATATATCAGCATTGCATTCCTTGTTATGGCTAAATAATATTTCATTGTACAGATACACCACTTTTATTTATCTGCTCATCATTTGGACATTTGGGTCGTTTCCATTTATTGAATACTGTGAATAATACTGCTGTAAACAGTTGTATAATTTTTATGTGGACATTTTTCTTGAGCACATGCCTAGGATTGGAATTGCTTAGTCATATGGCAACTCCATGATTAATTTTGGGGCATTGCTGAACTGTTCTCTAAAGCAGCTGCATGAATTTACATTCACACCAGCAACGTATGAGGGTTTCAGTTTCTCCACATCCTCATCAAGGTTTGTTATTACCTGTCTTTTTTCATTATAGTCATCCTAGTGTGTCTGATGTGGTCTCTCATTGTGGGTTTAATTTTATTTCTCTAATGACAATGATGTTGAAATATTTTTATGTACATGTTGGTCATTTGTATGTCTTCCATGAAGAACTGTCCATTCAAATCTTTTGTACATTTTTCAATTTGTTTATTATCAAGTTGTAAGTTATTTTATAAAAGGACTTATATTGATACAAGTCCTTTATCATATATATGAACTATAAATATTCTCTCCCATTCTGTATGTGGTCTTTTCACTTTCTTAATAATGCCTTTTGAGTGAATGCTGCTGAAAAACCAAACCAAATGAAACATGACACCCAGCTAGACCGTTCCCAATAATCAGAGGATGTAATGTTGTTTACGTCCAACAAAATGTTCTGACAGATAAGCAAAGCTATTATTAATTTGAACTAAAATGTGACGTACATGACACATAGTGTTAAAATATTCCTTCTGACATAGCTCCCCTTTATCCATTCAGACTTAGGAAAAAATGCTAAGCATTGTGTTCTTTGCCTTTGCTTAAATATCATATCGTCCTAAATTATTGAAAGGAATTAGTATAAGCAAACTTTAAATGAAAAAAATAAAACAGGAAGATCTCTAAAGTGGTTACAGTTTCAATACATGGACTACACATATTATTTGAAAAACTATCCTGTGGAATTAAGGATGTGTGGCAGAAAACTTAAATTAGCTCTACTATTACATTCCATAAAGCTGAACTCAACTTGCATGTAAAAATAAAAGAAATTCCATGAGTCAAAATTTATTTTCAGAGAATCATATCAATCACAATGGATCGCCTTTCTGGAAACTAACAAATTCAAACCTGGGATCCTGGGTCACAGCCTAGGTACTCTTCATTTGGCTTTTGAAGCTAAGCAGGCTGCTCCCTGAGGCAGAGGCTTCCTTGCCAGTGCTCCCGTTCCAGCTGAATACTCACTGCAGTTTTAGGTCAATTCCTTTGGAGGAAATGAGATTGACTCCACAAATGCAGGCGAGCTACGTAAAGGTAAATGCGTCCGAACTCTAGAGCTTCTGCTTGCCATTTTGAATCAGAAAGACAAACAGATGGACATATTTCTGCCCAGGAACATTTCTACATTTCTAAGGAAAAAACGAGTGCCATACTTTCAGTGAAGGAGAAGCAGCAAAGTCCACAAGAAATGTTTTGGAGGTGGAAGAGGAAGATGAGGAAGAGGAGGAGAAGGAGAAGGGGGAGGAGGAAATAGAAAATCTGGATAAGAAAAAACTGTTTGGGTCCAGTTTCAAGATTCAAAGGAGCTATCACCAAATCTGAAAATTGCCAGAGACTGATTTGGGGTAAAAATAATTAATCTCTAATTGTGACAAATGTGTGTACTATACTGAAGTGGAATTTTTTCATAGTCAAAAATATACTTTTAACAAATATGCATATTTAGTAGCTATAATGCATTTTTTAATTAAATTAAACTAATCTTTTCAGATTAGTTAATCAATAACCATTTAAAAATGACTTCATATGGAGGTCACCCAGCTATATGCTCAGATACGATCGGATGAATTTTAGTAAGTAACATTCACACATTTCAAAGTCTCTAAAGATAAGGACAAAATTTTAAAAAGATAAAGACAAAATAAAAAGAGATCTTATTTTACAGCACTAACCTTTATGTAACTCTACTTTATCGTTTCTGTCTTGAAAACTGTTCCACAGGGGTTACTGCCCATTGTATGTTCTTAGTACTCAAAACATGAAGGTGACAAATAGATTGGTCTTATAGATTATCTGGAGAATATATAAAAAAGAAAATTAACATGCAGTTAAAAAAATTTAAAACCAGGAAGAAAATGTCTGCAAATTTAAAGAGGTTATTTAAGAAATATGTAAAAAGCTACTACATACACCATGACTGAAAGCAAGGTTAAAGATTTAGAATAACTCTTTCAACTTTTGCTTATGAATATACAATTTAAAGTGAAGAAGTCAAAAGAGCTTTGTTGATACTAAGTCCATGGCAATGGTCAGTGCATGGTTAAGCTTGGTTTGGGTAGATAGGAGTATATTGGGTATAATTTGGCAAGTCCAGTAAAATATCCCCTGCCTAGAAATACCTTGTCCAGCAGTAGGTCAAAGTACCCACTGGCCACTAGATCATCTTCATATCAGTTTGTGTTATCATCTTTTTTCTTTGGGCTAAAGGAGAACTTTTTAAAACAGAAATTTCAAAACCACAAAGGAGAAAACTTTTGACATATTTATATATTTATATTGTGGCAAATGTTTACAAATGGTAGACTGGAAAAATATTTCCAATATCATTGATAGAAAAAATTTATCATATAAATTAAGAAATAATAAATCCAGAAGTAAATGGCCAAAAAATATGAACAAACCTATCAGAGAATAAGAATTGCAAATTACCTGTTTCCGCAAAAGTTGACTCTGTTCTGCTCCCCATTCTGGTTAGGTACAATGTTTTGCAGTAAGATCAGGGTCAGCAGCAGCCTAGTCAGGAAAAATTACATATGGTATGAGGAAAGTTTGTTTCTCTCTTTTTCCAGCCCATGATTCCATTAAGGTGTTGAAATCTTTAAGAAAACTTACATATGCTATAGTATTTATTGTCTTGATGGGAACTACCAGGAAAAGCAACAGAGCTGCATTAGGAAGTCTTCTCTCAAGGATGTATGCTAAATTTAATCTTTTAATATAGAATTCAAATTGTATTTTCCCTACCTCACACATAGGCGTGTCCCTCTCTCTTTCTGTCTTTAGCTGCATGGCTCCCTTTTTTAAAAAAATTATTTCCATAGGTTATCGGGGAACAAGTGGTATTCAGTTACATGAGTACGTTCTTTAGTGGTGATTTCTGCCTTGCCTAACAGAGGTCCTTGAGGAGGGCTGCCAGAGGCACTGGGAAATGACACATTTTATCGTTCTAGAAAAGTATCTATTTTATCTAAGTTTTCAAATTTTCAACATTATAAGTTGTATATTTTATAATATAGCCAATATATTTATCTGTTTCCTATTTTTCATTCCAAATATTGCTTAATGTTTTTGTGCTATACAAACTAGCCAAGGTCATGTTTAATTGGTATTATTAAATTTTTAAATAAACTATGTTTTGCTTTGTTGATTCTTTTTTGCCTATCCTTTCTTCTAGTTCATAAATTCTTGCTTATTTTCTTCTTTCTACTTTTTTCCCAGTATATGTACTTTTTTGGTGCTTTGTTTTCATTTTATTTTTTCAAATTCTAAGATATACCCTGAGCGTTTCAATATTTCTATGTTATCATTTTGTAATGTAAGTATTTAAGGCTATGAATTTTTCTCTAACTTCAACTATATCCCACAAGTTTTGATTAGTAATAATTTCATTACCATTTACTTATTAGTATTCTCGAGTTTTTATTACAGACTTTGCTTTAATTTTTAAGTACTTAGACTTTTTGTTTCAAACATATAAGACTATATGATGTCAAGACTATAATACTGATACATTCATATTTATTCTTTGATATTAGGATATTTATAGCCTAACATGTAGTCAATTTTTATAACTGTTATATATATATAAGAAGAAATTATATTCTTGATGGGTGCAGAGTTCTATAAACAGTCTTTAAGGAAGCTTATTATTATTCAAATATTCTCCATTGTTTTTAATTTTTGGTCTTTCTTATATTGCTTAGGTAGGGAGACATATTACAATCTCACACTATGATATTGAGTTTGTCAATATCTTTCTCTAGGTCTGTTACTTTTTGCTTTAGGTGAAATCAATATTATTAGATGCATACAAGTTTGGTTGTTACATCTTTCTGGTAAATTAAAACGTCAACAATGCTTTTGCTTTAGTGACTATTTTGTTTAATACCACACCAGCTGTATCAAACTTTTGGTTAGTATTCCACTTTTTATAGCCAGTATTTCTATATCCTGTATTTTATTTGTGATACTTATAAGTAATAAATAGCAGAAATCTATTTTTGTCTAATCTGAAAAATCTCTGCATTTAATTGTTAAATTTTATTTAATTACATTTATTGAGATTGTTGGTATTCTCAGATTAAACTTATTTTTAGAATTACAGAACGATATTTTATGTTGCTTATTTTATTTATACTTTTTTCTTTCTTCTTTTCTCCCTTCCTATGAAGTTTTCTCTAATGAATTGAAAGAGATGCACTCTATTTCTATTCCTTTAGTAGTTAATCTTACTACTTAAGATAAATATAAATCAAAGTGTGATGTATACTGTATTTCTAACCTCTTCTTAAATAATATAGGGCTTTTGAAAATCTAAATTTGTATTAACACCCTCCCAATTTATCTCATTCCCATTCAGCTTTTTAACTATTTATTTTATTATTCTTATGAGATATTTAATTGTTTTATGTATTTATGTGTAGTCATATATGTGTATATACAGACATAAATGACACAGTGTTCTGGCAATTTATTCCCACATAAATGACAAAATGTTCTGGCAATTTATTGCTTCTACTTGTTCTTGAATCTTACATGATCCTTTTTAAATAATTTATTAATTTAAATTTATACATTTCTATGTATTTGCCCATTTGTTCATCATCCTTGCTTGAGTCTCAGACCTTCCTTTGGGATAACTTACTTTCTTCTTTCATGAAGACAATCCTCTTGAATTGTGGTTGAGCTTTATATATAAATAAGGTTTGACATTTATTTTCTCTCAACATTTTTATGATCAAATATTCTAAAACTTTGCAATATTATTTCAATGTCTTCAGTCTGTATTGTTACTGATAAGAAGTTTGATATGATACTACTTATTTTTTCTTTAAAACTTATTCAACTGTCCTTTCTTTTAAAGTCTTTTCTTTGTCTTCATTGTTTATCAGTTTCCATGCAATGTTTTCAGTCTCCTGAATCTGAGGACATGTCTTCCATCAATTCTGAATAACTGGGTTTCCCCATGCTTACTCTTCTCTCTTTCTAAAATAACAGTTAGACTAATGATACAGTTTCTTAGATTATTCTCCATGTCTTTTATCATCCTTATTTATTTTTCATCTTTTGGTCTCCCTGTGTTGAAATCTGGGTAATTTCTTTGGCTATATTTTCCAGTTTGCTAATTATCTCTTCACCTGTGTCAATATTCTGTCAACCCACCCATTTAGCTTTTAATATCAAAGATATATGTTTCTAAAAGTTCTGTCTGGAATTTTTTTCAGATCTGCCTATTTTTGTAAATATTATCTATTATTATTTTTAATTCCTTTTCTGTTTATGTAAAAATTTTAAAACAAGTTTATTTTATATTCTATACCCTATCCTCAACATCTGAGGATCTACAAGGTTAATTTCTGCTATTTGTTTTTCTTTTCCTTTTATTCTCCTGACTCTGATTTGCATAATTTATTTGCTCAGACTATTTGTAATTTTGGATGATAGGTTCATGTTTAGCTAGACTCTATCTGTAGGAATCCTGCAATACCTGGCTTGTGTATTCAGCAAGAAAATACTTGTTTTTGCTTATGTCAAGATATTCAGAATGCTAGAAACCCAGGGAATAATTTTAGGTTAGTTTTTAAGTCTGAGTTTTGTAAACTATGCCGGAAGTACAAACTCAATCACCAACACGGAGGCTTAAATTCAGTTCATTCTCGTCTCTCTTTTCCAAAGGCATTTTTTTTCCTGCCCTGATACCTTTCACTGAGCATGTGTCTCAGTTCGACAGCCCACATTTCACACAGGACCAGGTCTGCGTTACCTGCCCTTCTGTGGCTATTAAAATACAAACTTATAAAGGGGAAAAGGATCTAAGGTCAGTTGCAGATTCAGTATCAACTACCACCTTCATATACAACCCTGTATACACCTAGAGTATACATAATCCACACTGGGAGTTCTGTTCGTTATTTTTGACCAGGAAATAAGAAAGTGAATCACCATACTCTAGTGATAGGAGCAATAACTTGTGATGTTTTAGAGCTATTCGTGCTCGGCTTCATGTGAATTAAACCAATCTTTTGAAAGAATATATAAGACTAAGGTACAGAGTGAAGCAGAGATAAGAAGTAATGATGAAATGTCCCATCAATTTATTGCTTCTACTTGTTCTTGAATCTTAGATGATCCAGTTGTGTGTCTGTCCTGCCCATGATTAATTAACTTTACCTTTCCTTTAATTGCTGAGAAATCTTTTGGTATACACTAGTCAGATTATGTTTCTGAGCTTTGCAATAAAAGGAGTCCTGACTAATACACAATTATTTTATTTTACACATCTTTTTCTTTTTCATATCCTGCAAAGCCTATGCATTATATGACAACTGATAGTTGTTGAATTAAATTGACTTAAATAAGATGAGCACAGTAGTTCTACTGAGACTTAAAAATTAACTTTTTGTTTGATCCCAGACTACTTCTAGACAGTGCTTTTAAAATGTTCCAATAATCAGGATCTAAAGAAATAAAGCAGCTTGAAAACTGACCCAAATATCAGCTGTGGGCAAAAATGATGCTGCCTTCCAGCACAAAACTCACATGCTTTAAGGACCCTTGAGAATCAACCCTGTGCAATAAAATAAATGCTCCAGAACTAATCTGAATTGTCTGAATATTGAAAATTTTCCTGAAGTCCTCAGAAAGACTTTATAGTCATGATTCTCAAACATTGAAAAAAGATCACATTTTAAAATCAGTGACTAAGTGTACACAAACAAACAGGAGTAAAGGTCTGAAGCAACTGATTGGGTAATGCATATCAAAACATGCTACTATATAAAAATACCTTTGTGCCTCAAGTCAGCCATGTTGCCAGTCATTAGTGATCAAATCTTTGGCATTGCTCCTCACCTCTTGGATACACAAAATCAATAAAGCAGACTAATCAGAATGGAGCTTAGGGTATAAAAATTAAATCTTTATGCTATCCTGGAAGTTGGATGTCAAATAGTGAACAAGTAAAATAAAGCCCTCATTTTTATTACTTCTCTCCATGCTTAAACCCTAACATATAAAAGGCAACCTTGTCTAGCAGTCCTATATAATATCCTATATAATGTCCTACCAGTATTCCATATATTAACACCAAAGCTTATGTCCTATATAAATATACTTATATAAATTTAATAGAATTATATTTAACACCACTAAGTTCTTAATAGTTTATTAGCCTGTTCTCACACTGCTAATAAAGACGTACCTGAGACTGGGTAATTTATAAAGAAAAGGACGTTTAATGGACTCAGTTCCACATGGCTGGGGAGACCTCAAAATCATGGCTGAAGGCAAAGGAGGAGTAAAGTAATATCTTACATGGTAGCAGGCAAGAGAGCGTGTTCAGAGGAACTACACTTTATAAAACCATCACATCTCATGAGACTTATTCACTATCATGAGAACAGCACAGGAAAGACCCACCCCCATGATTCAATTAAACCCACCCTCCCAGGACATGTGGGAATTATGGGAGCTACAATTCAAGATGAGATTTGGGTAGGGACATAGCCAAACCA